CAGACCTCACAGTACACAGACCTGACCTTACAGACCTCACAGTACACTGACCTGACCCTACATACCTCACAGTACAAAGACCTGACCATACAGACCTCACAGTACAAAGACCTGACCCTACAGATCTCACACTACACAGACCTGACCCTATGTAGACCTGGCCTTACAATGACCTTACTACCAAACTCTACAGACCTTATTTAAACTGAGACCTTTGCAGAACAGCCCCTTAACAATCCCAAAAACTTAAGAACTAACCCTAAAGAGAAATTATGCTAAAGACCTCACCCCACACAGACGTCACACTACCATGAATGGAACCTAGACAGACCTGACCCTACACAATCCTGACCCTAAAAAGACCTGACCCAAGGCAGACTTCACCCTACAGACCTGACTTTACGTAAATATTGTTTTAACACAGACCCCATTAAGCAATAAGCAAAGAAAATCTGGATCAGCTGATCCATATTGGGTGTTTCAGGTCTTTGGTGTTAGTCTCCAAAATCAGTTCAGATCTTGTTCAGATCTCAGAGCCCTCCAAAAGCAGAAAACGGTTTTAGCTCACCGCTCTTTGAAAATCATGTTGGAGCTAAAACTCTGATCTGTCACACCTTGAGAAGCAGATCTGGACTGACACTGAGACACAGATCTGGACAGACACTGAGACACAGTAGCCTGGAGAACTGTTGATCCAGATTACTAACGGACCTGCGAAGTCCAGGCTCACCAACGGGTTCAGAGGACTTACTTGTTCCTGAGAACCTGCCAGGCCGCCTCGATGTCTGCATACAGGTTCTTCTCGGACGGTTTCCCGGTACTGATCCCGTACCCTGAGTAGTCATAAGAGAAGACGTTGCAGTTGATTCTGGACCCGAGTCCGATGTAAAAACTGCACATCTGGCCCAGGTCCACGGCGTTCCCGTGGGAGAACAGCAGGGTGTACCGGCTGTTCGGTGCGCAGCGCACGAACATGCAACCGATCCGGTTCCCCCGGCTGCTCCTGGTGCTGAACACCTCCACGGAGTCCAGTTCCCGCTGAGAGTACTGCCAGTCCGCCCGCTGGCTCAGCTGCAGGCTGCTCTTGCCGGTTCCGTCGCTGCGGACCGAGTAGGTGGGTTCCGGAGGGAGGAAGGCCAGCTTGGCCGCGATCCGGCTGGGGCAGGGCGGGCAGCAGAACAACCAGCACAGCTCTGCGACCGAAAACCCGTTCATCCTGGGTCCTGGTTCGGGCATCTGGGCTCGGGATTCTACTAAAGTTACAGAACTGTCACTCCGGCCCGAAACCCGCCGGACCGTCAACACACACTAACATACAGGCCGGGCTAACAGTTCTGACCGAACTCTGCTCCACTGAACCGTTCAGAGCAAATTATTTGACAGACCCGAACCGGACCGAGATCCGCTCTGATCAAACACATTCCGTTAGACCTTTTCAGGGTCTGCTGCTTCGGAACCGCTACAAAAACGCAGCCATTTATAAGTTAATAGTCCGGCTTCCGCTAACACCGGATATGACGTCAGAAACCGTTTCAATAAACTTTATTGAACAATATCCTGATGCATGCTCAATTTGAAGCCGTCCAGAGGACCATACTTAACTTTTTTAGATTTATTGAACAATATTTACAATTTCACGGATAAAAAACAGTTCTGTGGTTAAAACATAGAATAGTTCTTTATATTTTGTCCTGTGTGGAGGTGTTGGACCATGCATCTGTGGAGATGTTTTTTAGTTTCTCCTACCTGGAGGTCAGAACATTTCTGCAGACATCACACCGCTCAGTCAGGGTTTGGATATTTTGTCCTCAGGATGGACCAGTCTCTGTCTGAGGGATGTCGTGTAGGGTTTAAAAAGGACCAGGATGTTGTGTTTGGATTTTCTCAGCTCCTCCAGCAGCATGTGGAATAACGTTTTTGTGTTTGATCTGCTCTGCAGTGTTTTTTGGATTTGTTTGCCGAGTTGACAAAGGTCCAGTTAGGATATCCACAGGTTTGGAGAACTTCTTTCATGTGGTCTGTGCCTTCTGTCTTTGTGGGGACATGTTAGGCCTGGTGGTGTAAAGTTCTGACGTGTTCCAGAGATGACGTGTCTCCTGAACCTTCTACTTCTTACTACCCTGACGGTTTTCCACCGGTACTGACTGTGGAGGAAGTCAAGGATCCAGTTGCAGAAGGTGATATTGAAGCCTAGTTGGATGACCAGGTGCTGTGGTATGGTTGTGTTGACTGCTAAGCTGAAGTCCAAACAGCATTCGTACATGGGTGTTTTTCTCCTCCAGGTGTAGGTGGAGTGCTGAGGCAATGGCATCCTTTGTTGAGCAGTTGGAGCGGTAAGCAAACATCCATCCATCCATTATCTTTACCCGTTTATTCCATTTTGGGTCACGGGGGTCACTGGTGCCCATGTCCAGCAATCACTGTGCGAGGGGCGGAGTACACCCTGGACGGGTCGCAAGTCCATCACAGGGCCACATAGAGACAAACGAGACAAACAACCATTCACTCTCTCATTCACACCTAGGGACAATTTAGGGTTACCAATCAGCCCAACATGCATGTTTTTGGACTGTGGGAGGAAACTGGAGTACCCGGAGAAAACCGACGCATGCACGGAGAGAACATGCAAACTCCACCCAGAAAGGCCCCTGGACTGGGGTTTGAACCAAAGACCTGCTCGCTGAGAGGCAGCAGCTCTACCAGTTGCGCCACCGTGCTGCCCGGTAAGCAAACAGTAATGGGTCAAAAGAGGGAGTAAAATTAGAGGTGATGTGTTGCTTAATTCAAAGCACTTCATCATGATGGGCGTAAGAACCACGGGGCGATTAGGCCGGCTATTGTTTGGTTTTTAGGCATTGTTATGATTGTGGCTGCCTTGAAGCAGGAGGGAACGATAGATTGCTTCAGGGAGTTGTTAAAAATGTCTGTCAGCAGCACAGGGACAAGCTGTTCTGCACATTCCTTGAGTACTCTTCCTGGTATATTGTCAGGTCCCGCTGCTTTCCTGGCGTTTAGTATTTCAGTGTCCTGCAGACCACTGTTTCCAGGCTCTGATTGCTCGTCAGTGGTGGGGTCTCTTTCATTGCTGGGGAGTTGTTTTGTGCCTCAAACCTGTCAAAATGTTGAGTTCGTTCAGGAACTCTGTATTGTCACTGCAAGGTTTTTTGTTGTCCTTGTAGTTGGAGATTGTCTGGATGCCACGCCACATGCTCCTGCTAAAAATATCAGCAAAAAGTTTTATATGTCACAGAGTTTCTGCTGCTGACGATGGGTCTGAGTGGTGTTCCTGTTTTGTGGATTTTGGAAAGTCTATAAAAGCATGGAATGGCTTCCACTGGATATAATCTGTTGAAAAATTAACAATTAATTATCTCTTTTTCAAGTTGCTGCAGGTAGTCTGAGATCTTTTTGTAGGCGCTGCTTGGGTCCATCTTTAAGGTGTCATAAGTATTGGCGTCAGTAGTGTGGATATTTCGTCCTGGTAATCAGAAGTACTGAGGGCCACTATGCATCCTTTGTCAGCTCATAAAGCGCATTGGTCCTGGCTAAGAGGTGTTAAAAAGCTTTTCTTTCTTGTGGTGGGAGATTTGAGGGAGGTGGCTTGGCACTGGAGAGGGTTGCTATTATCTTTATCCTAAGTTGTTCAGCCTCTGTTTCAGTCAGGTTGTTGTTGCAGATGGTAGATTCAGTGGCAGGGATAATGGGTGTTTCCTGTGGAGAGATGGCAAAATTCAGGCCTTTAGCCAGCATGTCCATCACTGGCTGTGTCAGCATCCTGTTGGACAGGTTTTTAATCCACAGGTTCTGAGTGCTGGTGTTGGTGCTGATGACACAGTTGTTTATTGTCAAGCTAAAACAGTTGCAAAGGTTTTCCAGCTATTGCAATCCGCTTTTGACATCATCCAGTCAGATTTGTTCTGTCACAAACTTGTCCTAAACACAGACAAAACCATCCATCCATTTATCCATTATTTTTTACCCGCTTCTTCCATTTGGGTCACGGGGGTCGCTGGTGCCCATGTCCAGCAATTGCTGTGCGAGGGGCGGGGTACACCCTGGACGAGTTGCAAGTCCATCACAGGGCGCCGACTAAACCAAAGGGATGCTTTTTGCAAACAGAAAGTCGGTCCCAGCAGTTCTTCTTCTGATTTTATCCTCAAATGGTGTCCTATTGAGTTTATCGATTCCTACAAATATTTGGGTATTTTGGCCGATTTGCATTTCTCTAAGCTCCACGTGGAAAACTTAGTAAGGAAACTGAGAGTTAAACTGGGTTTCTTTTACAGAAATAAATCCTGTTTAACTCTGAATGCTAGGAAACATCTTGTGACTGTGACTTTCCTCCCCTCCAATGACTATGGTGACATTTTTTACATGAACACCCCTACAAGCACCGTGCAGATGTTTGACGCTGTCTATCATAATACGCTAAGATTCATAACTGGCTGTAACTACCGTACCCACCATTGTACCCTGTGTTCACTGGTTAACTGGTCATAATTAACTTCACGCAGACTCTCCCACTGTTAAATTTTCATTTTTAAATCACTTCTCGGTCTGTTGCCTTCTTACATCTCCTCCTACATGTCACTGCGTGAGTGCAGCTACAGCGTGCGCTCTTACGACATTTCATGCAGTGTTCCCTCAGTGTAGACTGAACTAGGCAAAAGGGCCTTCTCCTAGGCCACTCCTGTACCCTGGAATATCTTGCAAAAAGATGTGAAGCTCTCGACCTTGACCTCTCTAAGTGGCTTCAAACATCTGTTAAGTTTCTGGAAAAAACAATGCAGACATGTTCCTGTTTTTAGTTTTCTACATCACCTTATAATCTAGCTGTTTTTTTCTTACATTTTCTTTTAAATACCATTTTATTTTCACTTGTTATAAAAATTCTCAATTTGTATGCATATTTTATGATTGTCTATTGTTGTCTTTGTTGTCCACTGTTGTCATCACTCTTTGTTAAAATCAGGTCTCTTGTAAATGAGTCCCTGAGACTCAGTGGGATTAACCTGTATAAATAAAGGTTGAATGAATGGTGGCCTCCTCTCGTTGTTGAATGGTGGTTCACTGTACACACACACACGCACACACGCACGCACACACACACACACACACACACACACACACACACACACACACACAC